CTGTGACTCAGAGAGCCCTTTTCTTTGCTGGAGAGCGGGACAGGCACCCAGAGGGGGAAATACAAGGCGTGGGACCGCCAGCAGGCGAGGGCTCCGCAGACAGCACCAAAGCAGCCGAGCAGGAGGTCGGAGTTGACCAAGTCCAGCACCATGGGTGAGTATGGGGTGAGGGTGGTGGCCACCTGGAGAGCTGTCCCCGGTGGCTCTGGGGACCCTGTCCCAGAGTAGAGCCCCCTGAAACTTTCCTCTGGCGCTGGGGAGGTCCTGGTGGCCCCGGTGTGGCCATGCCAGCCATGGGATGTGCTAAGGGAGGACAGATGCCTTGGCGTGGCAGGGATGGCGTTTTCTTTCCCAAGGCAGTTTTCTGTCCCCATGTGCTCATGCACTGTGGGGACAGATGTTATCCCCGCAGCATGTCCTACCAGAGCCCTCGCCACATGGTCTGGAGAGATGAGAGTTCCTGCCTGGAGCTGGCGGGAGCTGGGAGGTCCAGGCAGGGCACTGAGACCTGTCACAGCTCGTGCCACTTGCATGCCAGCACCTTGGAAAAACGGAGGCACTTCTTGTGCCTCAGTTTCCCTCTTGATGCAGTTACTAATAGTTAGTTACTGTCATACCCTTGGGACATCAGGGGTGCTCTGTTCCCAGAGGTGCCTTGTGCTGCTGGCACCCTGCCTCCTCCTCCTGTCTGCAGCACATTGTTTGGCGCTGGCAGCAGCTGAGCTGGGGTACAAGGCTCAGGATTGTGCGGCACAAGGGCTCTTTATCTCCTCCCTTCCCCTTACCAGGCTTCTCCAGTGCAGCTTCCCAAAGTCCAGGGGACCACAGCTGTGACAGGGAGCCTGTCAGGCCCTGTTACATCCCAGGACTCACATTCCCCTGGGAAGGCAACCATTCACTGTGCCCCGGTGTGGGCACCTGTCCTGCCACTTCCCAGGTGGCCAAAAATAAGAATAGAACAAGCAAGTTTGGCCCAGCACACCACTGCGTGGGTGCTCAATGGCATCCCTTTGAGTCTCAGCAAGGCTTGGGGGGCAGTGCTGGCCAGGATGAGTGGGAACCCCCCCCAGACCTGATGCATCCAAGGCAAACAAGAGGGAGGGGTGCCAGCACTCCCCTATAGCGCTGCCTTTGTTCCCTGTTTGCTCTTGGCGTGGGGCAGCCACTGGGGTGGCAGTGCCAGGACAATCCCCCATTGTCCTCGGTGCCACTGCACAACCTTGCTCCCAGTGGGAGGGGAGAATGCTGCTGGCCAGAACCCCACGGCTTTCTTGTCCTTTGAGGGAGGAGATAAGCACTGTGGGATTCGTGGAGGGAGCGTGGGTTTGGCGTGGGTATCTTTTTGGCATTCAAGGCAGAAATGCTGTGCCCAGATGGGATGTGCCCAGGCAGGCACTGTGCTCAGGACAGTTGAGTGCCAGAACCCACATCTTGGGGAAGGGGAGCAGCTTCCCTATGCACAGGTGCTGCACAGCCAGGGCAGCAGCTTGTCCCAGCTTAGCTGGAGCCAAACTGATGCTCTGGAGCCAGATGCTGGTGGGTACAAACTCATCTGGCTGCCTGCCCCAAAGCAGGCAGGAGATCAGCTGGCTGGGCACCTCCAAGCCCAGCCCACTGGGAAACAGCTAATGTTCCTGCAGTGTTAGCGCCCTGACGTGCAGAAGGGGCAGGTGCCCATGGCCCCACTGCTGAAAAAATATAGCATTTAGGCAGTGCAAGCAGCACATAGGGCTGTGTCCTTGCTTTGCCCCCACACACATGTCCTGGAGGACTAAATCTATTACACAAGTGCTGCCATTCGGGGAACTAATGCAGTTCCTCTTCATAAGCACAGCTGCCCACATAAAGGGGCTGCTGCAGCCCTAGCTGCCCACGGGGTGCCAGGTGAGGAGATGAGTGCAGTGCCACCTGGAAGCCTGAGTTGCTTGGGGTGTGTGCTGGCTCCTCCTGTGCTGTCCCAGGTAGGGCCATGTTGCTGAATGTCCACTGGAGTTTGTCTCTGTGAAAGTGCTGGGTTCTCCCTCATTTTTGATGGCAAAAGAAAGCTGCAGGCAGCTGGGTTGTGTCAGCAGTGGGGAGGCCATTAGCAGCTTGTTTGCCAGGTCCCACCGGAATTGTGCTATATCACGCTCTATTTCCATCTTGTTTGTCACGGGTCAGCATGGCTGGCTTGCCTCGGCTCCTCATGGTCCCAGTGCTCCATGCTGGCATCACCCACGTCCCTGGGCACTCTTGGGTGGGCCCTTGTGTGGCTGCTTAGAGAGCTCTCAGGGAAGCTGGTGGGTTTGGCTCTCCAGCATCACAACCTTCTCTCCTCCTGCCAGGCACCTTTCTCCCCCTGTACTTGCCTGCTCCTGAGCTGTAGGTGCCAAGCAATCCTTGTCCCAGCAGTCCCATTCCACCTCGCCTCTTTTCTCCGTAGGTTTGCTCGAGTGCTGTGCCAGATGTCTCATTGGGGCACCCTTTGCTTCACTGGTTGCCACGGCCTTGTGCTTCTTTGGGGTAGCACTGTTCTGTGGCTGTGGGCATGAAGCCCTCACAGGCACTGAGGATCTCATTGAGACCTACTTCTCCAAAAACTTCCAGGACTATGAGTATCTCATCGATGTGTAAGTAACCCTGCTGCAGAGCATCGGCCTCATGCCGGAGCCCCTTGCATCTTCGTCTTGCTCCATGCCAGGATGAGGTGTCTGGCTGGGCTGGCCAGGGTGATGCTGTCACCTGGGCACCATAGAGAAACCAAGCTGCCTGCTATGTGCCAGTGCCATAGCTCCATGGCAGGGTCCAGTGGCCACTTGCTTTCATTTCATGCCCGTTTTTATCTGACCCTTGCTAGGTGCCCTGGGTAGAGCTGGATCTCTGCACTGGGTAGGTATGGAGGGTGCGGGGGAGACAGTGGCAGTTCACAGCCTTGCTCACCACAGCTTTGCCCCAGCTTGCTCCTCTTGCAGCTTCACCCTCCATTTCAGTCCCCCCAGGGTGGCATGGGGAGGGTAAGTCACGGTGGCCAGGCTGCATGCAGGGCTGAGCTCCCCTGCACCGCCCCAGCGCCTGAGCATCCCTGCACACTCCTCTCCCTGGCAGCATCCACGGTTTTCAGTACTTCATCTATGGCACGGCCGCTTTCTTCTTCCTCTATGGAGCCCTGCTGCTGGCCGAAGGCTTCTACACCACCGGCGCCGTCCGGCAAATCTTTGGGGACTACAGGACCACCATCTGCGGCAGGGGCCTC